CCCCCAAAAGAATGCTGCAATTTCATCCTAAAGGTGTATATTTTACTCCTGTGACAGTGTTTAAAGTCCACTGCTCTTGGGGCACCTGGGTGGCTCAGCCGTTAAGCGTCTGCCTTCGGCTCAGGTCATGATCCCAGGGTCCTGGGATCTAGCCCCACATCGGGCTCCCTGCTCGGCGGGAAGCCTGCTTCTCCCTCTCCCACTCCCCCTGCTTGTGTTCCTGCTCTCGCTAACTCTCTCTCTGTCAAATAAATAAATAAAATCTTTAAAAAAAAAAACAAAGTCCACTGCTCTTATAACTAAAATAGTTCCTTTAATGTTGAATTGAATGGAAAAAATTCTTCCCAAGTGACCAGATGAACTTCAGGGGTTCTCTGATCTTACTGAGTAATGACTACTCAGTACTATTAGAAGTTGTGACTCTATTATTGATTACTTGGCTTCAGAGTTTAGATCAGGGCTCAGCAAACTTTTTCTGTAAAGGACTAGATAGTAAATAGTTTTGGCTCTGTGGGTCATATGGTTTCTGAAGCAAACTGTTCAACTTTGCCTCATTTTCATGGAAGCAGCCATAGGCCATAAGTAAAGAAATGGGTGCACCTGTGTTCCAATAAATCTTTAGATGCAAAAAATAGAACAACAACAAAAACAAACAAAAAAATACCCAGGCTGTGAGAGAGATTGGGTGCACAGGCCACTGTTTGCTGACAGCTGGTCTAGACCAAGAGTTTGAGAAAAGCCATGCAATAAAACATTTTTATCTTCACAATCATACAGTGGTGAAGTTAGCAATCTCATATTTTAGTTCATATGGTGTCAGTTCCAACCCAAGCAAGGGAATAGTAATTTAAAGCTAATGCCATGTTCTTTAGGTAAAAAGAAATGCTTAAAGATTATACAAATGCAGACAGGTTAGAGAAAAAAGGAACCTATTAATGGGAAAATACAATAACCACATTTCCTCTTATTACAATATATTGTAGGGATCTGCAGCTTCATCAAATCCTATGGCTTCATCAAATCCTTTTATGGAAATGCTACCCAAATTTCTATCTGCTGTCCTAAGCTATCTCTAGAGTGACATTTTTACATTTCAATGCATACCTGGATATTCCCAGTTGGCTCCCGTGCCATTATATCTAATGCACAATATAAAAAATATAATTTCTAAAATTAGTTCTTTCAGACCTAAGACGTTTCACCAATATCACAACTATTCTCAAGCTGAAAATACTGGAGTTAAAGGACCATATGATCATCTTTGAGTCACTTATTTCTATCTCTGCTTCTATAGTTTGCCACTAGGTCTTAAAGTTATTTTCCTCTACTGCATGTTGAAAATCCACTTATTTTTGCCCATTTTCACTACTGTGGTTCCAGTCTGAGCCTCAATTACTTCAGCCTCATATTGCTACAACCCTGTGCCAGCTGGCATCCAGACCCACGCGTCTTATCTTCCTAGTTTACTCTGTACATGCTGACAGATAAAACAGTGCTTTCATCAGGTCCTTGCTCCTACCACTTATTGAACGAGGCCAAAAATACTGATCCTGACATTTATAGCCTTCTACAAATTCACCCCAGGCTCTAGCTCACATCTCTGGAGCTTTAAACTACCTAATTTTCTGTGAACACTTTTAATGTTTTTGTTTTTCTTTCTCCAAATACTGAGCTTGTAATAATTGATCTTATTTTCTCTCCTTCCTACTTATTCTAATGTTATGGGACAAGTCAAGTCCCAGCCCATCCTTTAGGTCTTTCTTCAGTGCTTTAGCCTCAAATGATTGCTTTTGCAATGGATCAGTTTCAGTCTTTAACTCCCTCTCATTGGGTGATGTTACTGGTGATCTCATTTCCCTAACCGGATATAATTTCCTTGGCTTGAACATACATATCATTTGCTGACATTCATGGCTCTTTCTACACAGTCTTCTGAATTCAAACACAGTTGAATGAGTGACTGAAACAAGAAAGTCTGATGTATGGGAGAGGATGGGGGTAGCTTCTCTATAGTCTTTGCTGATTGATCCTAATCCTTACCATATAATTATTTTAATCATCAAAAAAAAAAAAAACAATAAAAAAAAAAACAGCGCAAGTTGGCATTTTAGTCTCTGATCAGATAAGAACAAAGATGAAAACAGCAAGAATCTGACAGGCAGAGTTCTGAAAACAGCCATGACCATCAAAGGAAGAAAAGTCTGCCTTTTTGCCACCAGCAAAAGATATTTCTATACTCTTAATTCTCCTCATTTCATGTTTCTGTAGGAACATAGGCTCTAAGAAAAAGCATCTTTAATCACCCAAGGCAACAACAAAAAAGGCTATCTTCATATGGAAGTCGAAGGGGTTCTTCTGAATGTATTTATGCAGAAATGATTTGTTATAATGCAACTTTCTCTTCCCAGATATACTGAGAATAGAAGAGATTGCTAAAACGGAGTAAGTTGTCCGACAAATATGCCAAGATGAGAAAACGTTATTTAAGTACAGGCAGAGGACGAGGCACCACTAACAGGAAACGAAGAATGGAACAGTGAGAAAGTAGCTTCGAGGAAGCTAGAGGAAACTCCCCTTTTCTTTTTTCTTTTTTTTTTTTTTTTAAAGATTTTATTTATTTATTTGAGAGAGAGAGAATGAGAGAGAGAGAACACATGAGAGGGGATAGGGTCAGAGGACGAAGCAGACTCCCCGCCGAGCTGGGAGCCCGATGCGGGACTCGATCCAGGGACTCCAGGATCATGACCTGAGCCGAAGGCAGTCGCCCAACCAACTGAGCCACCCAGGTGCCCTGAAACTCCCCCTTTCAAGCTGGGAGCGGGTGACAGTATTTGATACAATGAAGCAGACACCCAGGTGGAGGAATGCACAGAGGTTTTCAGATTTGGAAATGAGACTGTTGCCAGTAATCACAAAAAGAACAGTTTCTATGCAGATTGTGTGCTGAAAACCAAAAGGCCCATGTTAATATTTTTGCTTTTATGCCTACAATGACCTCTGTGCACATTCCCTGGGGCCATGATCTAACCGGAAGGGGGAAGGAATTAACGCTGAAGGAAGACTTAATGTGCACAAAGCACTGTGGGGATCATTATGTTCTCAGCCTCTGAAGGAGGAAATGAATGAACCACAGTTGTGCAGTGGTTAAGGAATAATTTGGAACTGAAACTGTTTTCACACTTGTGCTGTTTTACCATATCTCAGGTTTCCTCCCGTGCTATTTTATAAAAATACGGCTTTCATCTGTTTTACCTAACTTCATTTCACACTTTGATCCCCGGGTATTATCTGTGCATAGACTGTAGAATACGAAAATTGGAAAAATCCTGAAAGACCATTTGGTCCAACCCTCTTTTCTTTTCATTTAAATTAACTGAAAGCCAGGAAGGTGAAGGGATGAGCAAGCCTCACCCTGTGTTAGTGAAAGAACTAGACTAAAACTCATGTTTCCTGATTCCCAAATTCAAGCCTGCTTCATTATAAACTCTATGTAGGGCCCGAGTTGAATGCAACTGTATGCTTGACTCAGGAGGAATGAGCAAGGTAGAACAAGAAGCTCTTTTATCACTCAATTTCTCGATGCATGGTTTGAAATGGGGAGAATGACTTTCAATTCTAAGTACCTAAGTCTCTCTAACAGTAATAGGAGATAGTTATGTTATCACCATAGCTGATGGTGAAGGATAAATAAGGAAAATTAAGCTTATGAAATAAAATTCTAAAAATTGCTAGGTAGTTAATATTCTTTATAAACTAAATTTTAGGTTTCAAATAAGGATTTCTAAAAGGACGATGATAAAAGTAGAAGACGTTAGGGCACCTGGGTGGCTCAGTTGATTAAGTGACTGCCTTCGGCTCAGGTCATGATCCTGGAGTCCCGGGATCGAGTCCCGCATCGGGCTCCCTGCTCGGTGGGGAGTCTGCTTCTCTCTCTGACCCTCCCCACCTCATGCTCTCTCTCTCTCTCTCTCTCAAATAAATAAATAAAAAAAAAATCTTAAAAAAAAAACAAATAGAAGACGTTATTCCCAAGTTAAAAAAGCAACCTTTTCACTGTCAAGGATCAAAATCAATGAAAACTGGAATTCTGTATGTTCAGACTTTTGCATCATCACCACATACATGACTACAAATGAGGGGGCAAAACACATTTTTATGAATTAAAAAAAGGTGGCTGTGTATTTAATTACATAGTCAGCTACATTTTAAGTATGTAGCAGGAACTTACATGCTCAAAGTCAATATAAGTAAAAACAATCATATTCTCTAAAGGCTGAACTTGCTACGAGTATAAACAACATGTCCCAAAGCTTGGGATGTATTATCCACAATATCTCGTAAATAACTACACTACCCAGTAAATGTTGGAAACATTTCCGTCACTCATTTCTGCAAGATTCCATGTTATCTAGTAATGCAGACAGATTGCAGTCCACATATGGCAGGTTTTGAGTAAATAAATCTGCCATTTAAAAATCAGTACTGAGTATGAACAGGATTGGGCATAGCCATGGCAACATTAGGAATGTCACTGCTGAGAATTTCTGGAAAGTTACCCAATTATAGTACATAATACGCATGCACATATATAGTTCATACGGGCAAGGATGTAAGGATCTCATTGACTGTTAGGGTAACAAGCAAACTGTTATGGAATGCCATGATCCAAAAACTAACCAAAAAATCCCAAACAAGCTGCAGGGTGCAGTATAGTCCTAACCTTCTCAAGAGCTTGCTTTGGTTATCTTCTAAATATGAATGAAGGAAAAATTCAACCAGAGGAGTTATAGGCTCCTGTCCAAGAACAAAGGACACAATTTAAAAGGATGAGTTTCCATGTCGCCGTGTCAGGTGGAATGGGTAGAAGTGGACTGAGGTCTGTCGCTCTGGTTGCTAAGCATGGTGCGTGGCATCAGAGCGACAGACGCATAAAGCTAGTGGTTAAGTGAGTGATGATGGAGAAATGAAAAGCCAATCAAGTGTGGAGTGGAGCCTCCCACCTCTTGCCTGGCGTCCGGGCCCGCAGCCTTCCTGCGCTCCAGCGCTGTCCTGTCGCACGCTCCAAGGGACCAACTGGCATCTGCGCCATTTGTGAGTCTTCCACCTGCAAGGAAAGAACAGAAGCCTCACAGGGAGGAGGCAAAAATGCCAGGCAAACCATAGGGAGATGGTGGCATGGAAACATGACTTTGACCGCTACCAGTGGGAATATATTTCACAATGCTCAGTCCTATCTAAATGTAATTTGGATCTCTATCAAGACATTGTAAAAAGCAGCATTGAATATACAAGTACTTCCTATGGCTGTGGAGACAAGAGTTCATCATTGTCAGTTTCTATAGAAATGAACTCTATAGAGGCATTTAGCCTTCTTTTTTAAAACTGAAGTATGGTTGATACTTGTCACATTTTATTAGGACTGCCATCAGATGTAGCAGATAGTACTAGAAGTGGGGCATTCCATTTAAATAAGGTATGTTTATTTTATATTTGAGTTATGAAACTGTATTCAAGTCATGAGCCTTCTGTATGGTATCTTTTGGTTAGCATTGCAGGGGTAACTGAGAAACTGCAATTACAATACATTTTACAAAAACAAATCTCCCACATAAATAAGTTTGGGGCTGATAGTTGTCAGTGTTCAGAGTAAACATGCATTTATACTGTTTGTCATATCAGAATTAAATACATAGAAAATAAGATGGCAAATCTGCCATCAGATTCATCAGATTCATCTTATTTTGTTATCACACATTCCATCAGTTAATGCCGTAATATATCATCTGTCATCAGATTGCGATTATGTACCACATCAAGTTTCAGTTCGGTGCTTTCTTTTAACAGTTATGAGGAAAAATTTCCCTAATAATTATCAGGATGATGATCTATAGCTGGAATAACCTGCATTTTCTTTGGGGTGGCCACAAATGAACGGCACAGACATCTTATTAGCATCACTGAAATAAAGGTGTCATTTTGTGAACCAGAATGCCGACATCTATGAGGAACAGGTGCTCTTTGGAGTCAGGGGAGGAATGCTTAGGCTATTTCCTCTACCAGGAAAAGAATTGCTTATGTGTTTCATAATTATTAACCATTTCTCTGGATTTCTTACAGTTTATATCACCATAAGACATTTCCCCCAATCCCTGGAGCTAGTGACACAATTTGGAAATTTACACAAATATTTGTCTCCGTGGAGATAATTTCGGTAACAGGGCAGCTCCCCTAAATGCTAACAGCCACAGCCAGTACAAATTCCACTGAGCCTACAGGACCATCCTTGGCTTTCTTGTCTCATCGTTGGAAAGAAAATGGTCTTGGAGTATTTGCTAAGTGCATGGCTTACAATGCTTCTCCTTTAACCCCATTACCTGTAGCTCTGGCACACTTGAGGGGCCTCGCAGACTTTCTCTTCATAGAGTGGGTCCATGCAGTCCCTGCCTCCGTTGGCTGGCAGCTGAATGATGACCCGGTGCCGAGACTGCTTTCTGACTCCGGAGTCCCCTGGAATGAGGCAGCTTTTTAACTGCTGTACCCTGCTCTGATAAAACAATCTCCAAATGCCAGCCCGTGTGAAGACATTACATTGCTTCCAGGATCATGTGCTTTGATAGCCCTGAACGAGAGGCCTCATCTAGTCTCATCATTTTCTAAATTCTCCAGACCCTTATACTGAGAACCAAACCAATTTATATTCCAAAATGTGAAAAACAGAGAAAAGAGTTCCATAGTCAACTAAGCTTGCTAATGTGCAGATACAAAGTAATTGCTCTTTTGTATATTTCTTTCCCCTCGAGAAATATGACAGATCTAATTAATTTATCTTCCTCTACCTTAAGTTTATTTTTATGCCATTTCACATGGTCCTGTTTACCACATGGGACTCATACAGTTCTAATGAATCTTTCTTAGGAGACTATATTCAATGTTTTAATGTGAAATTTTATTTCTTTGTTATTCACTTAATTTGAAATGCATACCTCATAAATTATTCTAGTCATTTATTATTCATGTTAAACAGTCTAAGATCTTCAATTCAGGTCACATTCTAAACATCAGGGCTGTAAGTAGTGAAACAAAAATGGTTTCTTAGAGGCAGAATTTTTACAGAAGCATTCAGAGTACCAATTACTGTAAGTAAATAACTCCAAATTATGTTTAAAAAAAACCAATGGAAATAATTAAGATTTACCTTCAATGAAGGTATCAACTTGACAGTATTACTCATCTAAAGATGTCCAAATATTTTAGTATTTGAAAGAGACAATGTACAAGACTTGACAATTTTAATAAAAGATATTCTAATTTATAATATATACATCCTTTAAGGGCAAACGACCACATGGCACAATTTCACTTATATTAGAATTCCCTAAAGAATTATTTTAATAGAGTTCCCCTGATGCATTTATGTTTTTTTGCAAGATCATTAAATATTTGATATGCAGATATAAGAACAGAGAAATTTAGAAGGGTTAGCAGTCCCTAACAATGGATGCTTAATAAAAAATTAAATGAAACTAAGTTATTGTGTTAGTAGGAAAATGTGATTTGACAATTAGAACTTTCTAATAAGGGACATCTTTCCTCATGAAGTCGGGGTATCCCTCAACATGGTCTGGGCAAGTGACTCCCAGCAATGTGGACTGAAGATTTCCATAATAGAGGGGACAAAGAATCAGATTAAAGATTCCTAAATGTCTGACTACATAGGAGAATTTCTTTCAAAAACTGAAAGTAAGGGGCGCCTGGATGGATCAGTCCTTAAGCATCTGCCTTTGGCTCAGGTCATGATCCCAGCATCCTGGGATTGAGCACCGCCCCCCCCATGGGGCTCCCTCCTCCACGGGAGGCCTGCTTCTCCCTCTCCCACTCCCCCCCTCTGCTTGTGTTCCATCTCTCACTGTGTCTCTGTCAAATAAATAAATAAAATCTTAAAAAAAAAAAAAACTGAAAATAAAAACAAAAACAGATTTCTCAGCCTATACCCAGAACTACTAAGTCAGAATCTCTGGGGGCTGGATTTGGGAATCTGGCTTTTACAAAGCTTGCCAGGGAATTGTGAATGAAGAGCCAGTTTGAGATCTACTGGAATAGACAACCTTGTATATCTTATCCCAGTTTAAGGTTCTAGGGTTCACACATAAGTTTTTAGCATCATTCCCATTGTGGGGGAAACCCGTACTACAAGTGATTGCATTAACTATTTCAGTGAATAATTAGAATACGACAGGTAATAAAGTAGGGAATTAGGGGCTGGAGGTAGTGGGTAGCAGAGAATTAAAGCATTTGAAAATATTGTCAAAGACTTTTTTTTAGTTGTTAACAATAGCAGTTTGAATGCCAGTTGCAACCTCTACATATTAAGTATCATTTATCTAGGAAAGATCTAAGAAATGTCAATGGGACTTCTAATAAAATTGCTAATGCTGCCTCCATCCATTATGTTGTTCCAACGGCCCCTATTTTAAAGCCCAGGTGATAAATTCCTCTAGTAATTTAGAGCTAGGAAAATTTTGTTTCCCTTGACAATCTGTTAAGACTCTTACCTTTGATTCCCTGTTCCTCTTACAGGCTTCTATTTTTTGCTTTGTTCACCAGAATCTCAAGGCTAATTTTCTTCCCCTGCAGGAGCTTACCTTAACTTTGACTTTATTGTATAATTTTTCTCTTCCTCTCCCCTTTCCCCAACTCTATGTACTACCTGACTCCATCCTTCTTTTACACTTTCTCTTCTTTTTTTAATGTTACGATCTGTCTTTCATCTTTTTTTTTTTTTAAAGATTTTATTTATTTGACAGAGAGAGCACAAGCAGAGGGAGAGAGAGGGAGAAGCAGGTTCCCTGCTGAGCAAGGAGCCTGATGTGGGACTTGATCCCAGGACCCCGGGATTATGACCTGGGCCGAAGGCAGCTGCTTAACCAACTGAGCCACCCAGGCGTCCCACTGTCTTTCATCTTTTTAAAAGAGTATACAAACCACATATTTATTCTTATCGTGTTTAACATTGGGGGGAGGAAGGAGGTAGTTGTTTGTTTAATGGGGAAAGAAGGAAAGAACATGGAGAAGCGGGTCTTTGTTTCCCGGATGGTCAAGATTCTCAGAGTGAGTAACTCGCCAACCCTTCTCTGCCTGCAGGCAGACAACATAGATGGAATTGAGACCCCACGGATCTGGAGCCTGGAGGACACAATGAGTTCAGCCTCAGTGGCCCCTTATACACGAAAGCCCCTCGTCACTAACTATCACCTGGGACACAGGCAGTGCTGTTCAGATTTGAGAAGCAGCAGGTAGTGTTTCAATCCTACTTCATTTTTGGACTTGAAAGCAAATATTTCACCTCAGGTACAACTCTGAAACATTCTAGTGTCTTTTCATCCACAATGTCCACAAGCTCGTATTTGATACATAAGACCACGATAACTCTTTTCACTTCCATAATTGATTCCACAGTGGCAATCCGCTTATTCTTAAAAAAGTTCAAATACCTTGACCTCTGCAGCCCACAGAACATAGACTGTGAGCTGATGAAAGCAGAACATTCCAAACATATAACACCGACAGAGGAAGTTTAATGGGGCTACACAGGAAGTGTCATGATATCCATGTTTCTATCCACCGGGAGGTGCGTTGACTCTCAGATCTCAGTTAGGAAATTACTTGTATACTCAAAGAAACAGCACTGTGGAGCTCAGCCAGGTTACAGAGCCCTCAGGTCAGAATGCAGACAAAGGGAGAGCTACGGCACATATAAAAAGAAAAGTGGATGGTTTCTCACTAATAACTTGAGCTGGCAAACTTGGAATTTTACAACCTTCATAGTTTTCTGTACGCATTTGCACCCAATTTATTGTACGTGGTTGATAGACATGCATAGCTTCCATTTATCTTTGTGTATTAGCACGTAGAACACCAGTCACACATGGTAAGGATTTAATAAATATTTGCTGAATGAGCCCACATTTATTTCACTTCTCAACTGGACTGTTAGTTAGCATCTTCTATTTCTTTTTATCCACGTCCTTATAGTAGGAAGCACATGGGTACGAAGTCTGTGCACTGAGGATTAATAAAAAAATAAGGGATTGTTTTGTTCATTGGAAATAATAAACATGGGGAAAATAGAGAAATATTCCTGTAGTGTTTATACTTGAAAATATCTATCTAGGATAGAAATAGAAAAAAGGGATTAGATATTCAGAAAACAATTATGTGATAACGAGGCACAAAGACTCAGAGGGTATGCAATCGCTCATGTAGTCATAGCATTTTACAGATTAAGACATTCAAGATAAATTTCACCAGAGAATTTACTTGATGGGAGGACTTAAAGGGCAGGCAAAACTAAGGTTTGTTAAGCTAGACGGGGGATGGATGGCAGGCTGGAGCAGCAGAGTGCTAGGAAATTGAAAGGGAAATGTTTCATGCAAGAAGCAAAACGTAAAGGTAGTTTTCATATGCTTGGGGGTAATTCTAGTGCCATATTGCTTCAGGGCATAGAATAGATTTCTCTGCAATATCCTTTCTAGCTCTCAAGTCAATAAATGCAGTTTAGAAAAAAGGAGTGAACAGAATTTGAACAGTAAAATTATTATTTAATCAAAAGTATTGATATTTTTAAGACTATAGTTACAAGTAATTTATATGCATGAATGTTTCCTATTTTTAAGTCCTGTGTAAAAACTTATAAAAATTTGGAAAAAGTTAACAAGTGCATTGATTTGGGGATTAAAACTACTCTCTACTCCATACTGATCTTTATTGGCAATGATTTTTCAAGACACATCTTGAGAGAGGGCTGAATAACATTTCAAATAATTCTTTTTGTTCTTCCTGGCATGCTAAGCTATTCTAATCCATCTTCTGCAATACTACAGTGTAACTTTACCTCTTTAAAGTGATTTTTATTTTATTTAGTTATTTTTTAAGAATTTTCTTCCCTTTTTTTTAAAGATTTTATTTATTTATTTTTGAGAGACGGGGGGTGGGAGGCAGAGGGAGAAGCAGGCTCCCAAGGAGCAGGGAGTCTGATGCAGGACTCGATCCCAGGACCCTGGGATCATGACCTGAGCCGAAGGCAGACGCTTAACCGTCTGAGCCACCCAGGCGCCCTAAAGTGATTTTTAAAGGGAGGGTGGTTCCACAATTTCATAAGTCTAAAACTCTAATAAGATTTAGACTTTACCTGCAGAATTAAAAAAAACACCCTATCCTTGAGTTAATTTTCTGTTGCTATTATCTATCCTTGAACATAGAACTCCATGTACTATTTTTAATTGTGTGCTGAAATCAGTGTTATTTCACTAAAGCTTGGATTATTCCCATTTCATACCAAATAATGAAAAAAAAAAACAAAACAAAACCCTAACCACATGTCATTGCTTTTTTTCCCCTTACAACAATAGGCTAGTTTTCTATAACACCATTGTATTGTTATTATCAGTTAAGGCAGTCTACAGGCAAAAACAGAAAAGGCTTCTCCAGGACCACAATGCATCTTGGCA